ATAAGGTATGCATTTATATATATTTAATATATAATAACAATATAATAATCTATTTATTATTTATTATATAATTATTATATACAACTATTAATGAATAAATGATTCATTTTCTTTCCTCTTAAATTACATCATTATGAATCAAATTATTATTTATGTTGGCCTTTTATAATCATTGTTGTAATTGTTTTAAAATTTAATGTAAAGAAAGTGTTGACTCAATGTACTCCAAGAGGGGGGTGAATTAGAGTTCCAAAACTTTTCCCCTTTTTCAACCACAAAACCCAAATTAAGGAGAATAGAGAAGAAGAGCTTGCACAATGAATTTATAGAGGTTCAGTCCAACCACTTGGAGCCTAGTCCTCTACCTTGGCTTCACTCACCAAGGATTTCCTCCACACTCTTAACTAAAAAAGACAAGGGTGGCTTAAAGGAGCCATTCAATCCTTTTACAACAAGACGAGTATTTCTCTCAAACCTCACCCCTTTACAATGTAAGCCCCACAAATCCTCTCAATAGATCACTCTTGAAGGAATCAACACACCCCCAAGATCACTCACTAAAAACACAAGAAGAGGATTACAAGCAATGATCACTCAAAGATCAAAAACTCAAGTTAAAGCTCAAGTAGGTAGGTAAAGATATTCAATGCAATGTTCTCTAAACTTCTTCAGATCTGTTACCAACCATATTTATAACCCCTTACTCGAAAATAGCCGTTACTAGCCGTTGGGGGTCATTAAATGCTCTGCAGGACGCAAAAGTCGAATTGCAGGATTGTCAAGAGAGCCGGCTTAACATTCTAGAGCCGGCTCTACAAAGCCGGCTTACACTTCCAGAGCCGACTACCCGGGTTTGCAAACCATTCTGTTTTTCTCGAGAGCCGGCTGCAAAACTTTGAGCCGGCTTTGCAACTCCGACTTTAAATACATTAAATAATCTTCAAATGACTCGACCGTTGTACATTAAATGCACCCTCACAACCGGCTATAAAGTTGGAGCTGGCTTTGCATCTTTTCTCCGTGCGTGGCAAACAACGGTCTTCAAATTTTTGCCTGTAGAGTCGGCAGCAGCTTCCAAAGCCGGCTCTCTGCACTTCCATTTCACCAGAGTCGGCTGCAACTTTTAAGAGTCGGCTCTCTGCACATTTTGAATCCTTTTGGTCTATTTTTAGTGCAATCCAAGTTTACTTGTAATCTTTTAGCAACTTAACTACACACTTAAATAAACCAATTAGTCACTCAAATGTGTTTTGTAATCATCAAAATCATAGGTACAACAG